TAATATCTTCTATCAGCTTTCTAATTATATATTGCATGTCGTCTTTGTCACTGGCCACTATGATCTGATCATCTGCAAACTGAAGAGTAAACAGGCACCTATCATTTATCTCTATACTCATTTCATGAATTTTTCCCTACCAATTTTTCAGTGCTACTGCTACGTATATTTTGAAAAGCGTAGGAAAGATACAACATCGTTGACATAGTCCGTTATTCACCATAACTGTGTTTATGACTTCTTTACCTATCTTAATTCTTGATTCTGAGTCTTTATATACTTAGTTCTTTAAGTGCCGTTATATAGGTGTTGGATTGTTCTAATACATCCCATAATCTGGATACTGGGACTGTATCACAAATGTAAGGTGGGTTCCCAAATGTCTAGCAAGTCTCTTTTCTATGACTTGTTTTAGGCAAAATACGTTGTCTGTACCTAATCTTCCTGCTCTAAAGCCGCACTGCTCTTCTTCTTCTTTCTCTTTATAATCTTCTTCAATGAGATCACGCAGGATTCTACTGCTTAGTGTGCTTGTGAATGATATCTCCATACCTCTGAACATTTCCTTCCTCCGATATAGGTCTTAATTTCTTCATATTTCTTGTCCCATGACTCGTTCTTAGCTATAGTGATGCACATTTTTAGTTGTCTTTTTGGAGTCTTAATAAACTTCAAGGTCTTGTTCATCTTTTGTTGTTGGCCATCTCAGATATTTTTACTTCTTTTCTTGGACTCTCTATCTCCCCGTTCCACTAGTATTTCTTGTTGCTTTTTTTTCTTCTTCGTTTCAATTGCTTCTTGGATGGTTCCTATTAGACTCCTTATAATGTTCTCATAAAGTTTATTGAAGATATATTCTTCAAGGTTTAATTAATAGTTTGCTGTCGAGTCGCATCTGATATAAAAATACAGTACTGTCATCTGATCTGACCCGCAAGTTATTCCTCTTAGGACTCTTACGTCGTTTACCTCTATGTTTGTTTCTTGTTTGCTTATCACATAGTCAATAATAGTTTTCAGGTTACGAGTATTCTGTATCCATGTGTAGCGGTGAATATCTTTGTGTTTGGAAAATCCAATAATTATTCTAACATTGTGGGTCTCACAGAGATGTATGAGCCTTTGGCCATTATCATTGATCATTTCTTCTCCAAATGGTCCTACAACTGAGCTATTGTTCGTTCTCCCATTGAAATCCCCTATCATTATGATTTTTCTATTTCTTCCAATATCTACTAAGATTTCATCTAATTTGTCAAAGAACTCCTGTTTAATGCCGACTCTTTCGTCCTCTGATGGAGCGTAGGCTGCTATAATGGTGATGTTAGTCATGCCCTATGGCCATGTAGTTTCAAGTTTCATTTTCATCTATAGCTTCCCACTTGTTAATTTTGTTTTCTAAATTGATGTTCAATTTCTGAATTGCTGATGCAATATGTAGTATCCGCTTTCAGTCTAATACCCTGTACATTTCACGTAGCGAAATTCATTTTTTTTGCTGTGTTCCTCGTCTAGATGATCCGTCCAATGGTTCGAGGCTTTGCTTGGGTTTTTTGAGTATTAGAGAACCATTCTAATGCCTCAACCCCCATCATGGAGGAAAAAATTAGTTTTAGTTTCACAGTAGGTGTTTTATTTCCCCACTATACCCTCTGAATCTGTTGGATTACAGACTCAGCAAAAATTCTTAAAGATCAAATAAAGAGCACTTTCGCCTTCCAGAAGCTCGTAAAATGGACACCAGTCCTGGGACACTGATGTGACAATTTTTCAAATGTTTAGGTCTTATTAGTCGAATGACCACCTCGTGTTTGGAAGGAAGAACTAATGGTAAATAGAAATTCTCGTCATCAAGACTATCTTGATACGGATCCTAATCAAACCATACTCATCTAAAAATGGACAAAAACTGGAAAGTTTCTCATAATAAATAATTGATAAAGCGAAACTTTCTTTTTGTGTCATTCTAATAATTGTTTTTTGAGCGGTATTCATTTCAGATTACCTAAATTCTTCTCACAAATCTCACGACCCATTTAATCAGCCAAACAATCTTATTGGAACTTGAAAAATATTTGTAGTACCAAGTGAAATTTTTTGTTTGCACCGTAAGTAACGAATTGACCTTCTCTTCATTTACCAAATCTTCATCACATTGATATTTTTGGTCGAACCATTTGATAACTGGCTTTTGAAATTACAAAGGATCCTCCACCATCTACTATCAGCGAGCCTTTTTCCAAAGCAACTTCTAGATGGATTTTCATCTCCAGGTACATGAAACCATGAGTGGTCCTTATCAGTCAATCATTGAATTTCCTGGACACGATTCCATACAAAAAGTTTCCACTGTTCCTCCCGTTTCATCCAAGACAAAACCGTCGTAGAATCAATCAAATAGCACTTCATAAAAAAGTTAAAAATTATCTAAGACAACCTGTGAAAGCCTGGCACCAACCGTCGCTACCCAGCAATTCTAGTCTTCAGTGGAGTTATTTTCAACTTAGCTTAATCCATGGATACGAAAATCTGTCCATCGGTTTCTGATCGTATGTGAAAATAGCTGTAGTTTCTTCACTGGCAGTATTGACAAACCATCTAAGAATCTTCATCTATACTAGGAATAGAAGTTCACACATCCACCTGAGAAAATTGAGTCCAACTTCAGTATCCAAGCCTAACTTTAACTTCCAAATCCTCTGAAGCAATAACTTGGGATATAATGCTACTGGACTAGAAAAACCAATTGAATCGTACAATTTGTGAGCAGTAGATAAAATTATTCTCTTCATTATCTTTTGAACACTGAGATGCTTCACCCAAACCGTAGAAACTTGAAGTGTGTCCAAGTTTTTGTTCCATAGAAGCCCTAGAATTGGATAGTAACGGCAGTTGACCTCCTTTGGGAAAAATATTCTCATCCTCTAACGTCAAACTGACCTGTTTATAGTATAGTTATTGAGTTTTAACAAAAATCATGAAGTAATCATAATTTGGTTTAACTGAACCTCCGCCAATGGCGATTGCATTGGGACCTCATTTCGACGCACGGAAAACCGTTTGGAGGTGCACTTATCAACTCCCCATACTCCCATCGTGTATACGACGATGAGGGTGGAAAACTGACGCCTAATTTCGCACGGTCACGCAATACCACGTCGTCGATGTGGCGCCACCACTTTTTTTCTGTCTTTTGCCAACGTTGGATGATTAAAAATACCCTAAAAGTTTTGAGTAAAACGACTCCTGGATAGGGTTTTTTAAGGATTCAGTTTAGACTTGAAAGTGAAACATAAATCCCCTAGATACATTAAAAGCGCATGGATGGTACAAAATAAGTTAAAAATATTACTTCCACCCTGCCGATTTCAAACTATTTATTTGGCCGGGAGATTCTGAACACTGTTGTAATTGTCGGTTTAAATTAAAGTTTAATGGGGCTGGAGAACATAAAAAAGTTTAAATTAATGTTTGTTGGGGGGTGCTTGCATTTTTCAAATCTACTAGTGTTTATAAAATCTAGTTTCGTCAAACAACATATTGTTGGTATCTATTTCCTAAAAAAAAACTGTTTTAATTCATACTTTTGTCAATTTTCTAAATTAAATTCTCAAAATAATTAATTTGCCATCATCGTCATATATTTGTTCCGGAAATTGGTAATTATTGAAATACCAACTTTGAAGCGTTTTTGGGCCACTTGTTTTTTCATCGCCAACACCTGGACGAATAAATTTCTGAGTGAATACACATTAAAATATTTAATTAAATTAAATTTATCGTTTGCCATAAACTAATGAAATTGGCTCGAAATTTATAGTGAATTCAAGGATGTATACTACTGGTTTTGAAAGAGCTGCCTATAAAACATTTCTTTAAAATCTTCATTTGTATCTTCAGATTTATGATACAGATTTTCAGTAGATATTGATTGATAGTGTTTTTTTCACTGGAGCTGAATCTGATGAATATAAAATAGCTTCTCCTTTGGTATTTTTCCAAATTAAAATTTTTCCAGGCCGCCCGTCCATAAAACAATAAGACAAAAAATAATATTTCAAAATTTACCCGCGGGAAAGCTTAATTTTTAATTAACTGCAGCCAAGTTATTTTTCCTCGTTATACCTTAAATTAATTACGTCAATTTTTTTCCATCTTTACTTCCCGGGTTGCCGAGGTGGATGGTATCTTAAAAATTCGCGCACAGGGGTGTAAAATAAAACAATAACGCCACCGGTTTTGAAGTGATTATTTTCCATTAGGGCGCTGTATTTTCGTATATACAGCGTTGAAGCTTTTTTTAAATACCCATGAGGTGATCTGTTGGCGTTCTGCTTCTTATTAAAATTGAAGAGAGGAATGAAGGTTTTTTACACATTAATGAAAACAAAGTATCCATTATTTCTAGGTGAACATGGAATGCTTAGGCTTAGCTGGAACATACATTTTGAGAATGTCATTTTCTCTATGTAAACATTTATTTATTCCTGTATACAGTGTGACAGGTGTGAGTGCACTGTGACACCCTGTTTCTTGAGGATTAAAAGTACTTTAAGGCAGTATTCCTATCTCAATTTTTATGGGAATGCGAGATCTAATCACCCTATCAAGCGTTGTCGGTCGAATATCTGGACACCATGTATATGAGGTTATAATATGCTCAACCAATTCAAGATACACTTAATTTAAAAGTTTCTTTTTATCTGTATAAATAAAAAACTTTTTTGAAATACCAGAAAAAATTGTTCCATAAGTCATTTGAAATCGTGTGGAGTTTTGCAAATAAAACCCCTGTCCTGTAACAAAACTTCCTTATTATGCCCTTTCATTAATGACTGGAACATACCCCAAAAACAATGAAGAATAATGCTCAGTTTACTATATTTCCATTTTTATCATACACGGAATCAATAAGTCCAACCAAGTTACCAGAGCAAAGCAAAATTACCGAAATTAGTTTGTAATTTTGAAGATTATTGACGATCCAACAAAGTTCTTACCTCTTCGCCTTTGGCATTATGATACCGAATCCATTTTTGTAGCCTCGGTCTCCAATACTCGATCATATAAGCCTCGGCGTACTCGATTCCCTGTCCATTGCCGAATCTGCCTTGGGTTTCTGTGGCAGTAATGACGTGCACCGTTTTCAGATCGATTTGTATCCATTCTTCCGGTTCGGTCGTGGCCTGTTTTTGAGGACACCACGCTCCTCCGTTTTTGTCCGTTCTCACCCTATATAAAATCGATAATACATTAATTACGAACCGTATTGTCTAATTAACTTGTATGTATAATTTATCGGTTTGGGATTTCTAAAATTTGAATTTATCGTCCCGGTTATAGGTAAACGTTTACATATTATTTTGTTTGGGTATATTTTATTTGCCGGACGATTATTATTCTATGGACGTAATAATTGGGGCCGATTGTTACCCGCTAATTATATATTCATTGTTATTAATTTTAATAAATGGGCCTAATTTGTTGTACAAACAGACAATATTATTTTGGTTTGTTTTACAGATCAAATCGACATTATAAAATAGAATTTATTCCCAGACAATATTCATATTGCATTTTGCAATAAATACAAAAAAAGTTATCCCTATATATACGTATACATACAATATTGGAATATTCAATAATAATTTGCTGTCCAGTGTCCGATGTGGACAGAAAACAATATACGAAATTGAATATTATGGAAAATATTTTAATACATTCAAAACCCTTGAATCAACAAAAGCCAAATGATTGCAATTTTCGGCCATATTCTTTTATCGGCCGAAACGGCTCTATTATTTATATTTTCCAATTCCCCAATGTAAAATAAACACGGTCGAGTGTGTTGGGAGAGCGAGCCTGTATAATATAATTTTTGTTTTTATAAAATGAGCATCGCGTGTGTGCGCTCATAAATCGTCAAGTACGGACCATAATTTACGAATTTCAATTGGTCGCCGACGGTTTTTAATAATTTGAAATGGCAAGCGAACGCGCAAATAATGATTAGTCATTTTTTGAGGGTTTTATTTTGATTGCTACAGGGGTGGGGCACAAAAAAAAATCAAAAATCGCTCAGACACGTCAATTTTTGTTTTTTCGGGAACATATTTTACTGGTATTTTCACCCCCTACCTGTCAACCCCGAAGTGGGGGTAACAGGTACCCCCAAAATTTCAAATGAAAGAAGGGTCGAATGATATGTCATTTGGTAGATATTTTCATTAAGATTAAATTCCCGAAGTTTTAAGTTGCTACTATTTACCCTGCCGAAATGGCGGCATGTCAAATTTAGGATAAATGCTTTTTTTCGATAATCTAAACTGTATAGTTTTTACCTGTTACACATATGCGTAGATAACAGGTAAAAACCACACATCATTTTTCCATTGATTTTTCCTAACTTTGACAAGCCGCCATTTCGACAGGGTAAATAGTAGCAACTTAAAACTTCGGAGATATAATCCTAATGAAAATAGCTATCAAACGACGTATCACTGGACCCCCCTTTTTATTTGAAATTTTGGAAGTACCTGTCACCCCCACTTAGGGGTTGACAGGTAGGGGGTAGAAATACCATGTTAAGTACCAATAAAATGGGTCCCCCAAAAAACAAAAATTGGCGTGTTTGAGCGATTTTTAATTAATTACCTAACAAATGAAAAAAACCTGTGTGGGAAGTTTTTCATATCCCACCCTGTATTTATGTACAGGGTGTTTCAAATTCGAGCCACATCATTGGAATCTCGGAAACGGTGAAAGATACAGGGTTGGTTAAATCAGGGTAAAGTTGCATAATTTGATGCTTAAAAAATTGCCGCTGATTTGAAATCTGACGTTTCGTTTTCTAGCAACCATTATCAACTTTATTTTTTTAAATATGGCCCTGGATTTTTTATTTTTGTTTTCGTTACCTTTCAATCTGCTAGAAACAATGACATATCACAATCTTAAAAAAAATAAATAATCGGTATACGCAAAATAATTAATTAAAATTATGATATATCCATCTCTGTCTCACACATTATTTTCTTCGTAAGTTTACCTTTGTCTTACACATAGAAAGCGCAAGGAAGTGCAAATCAAATTTTATTTTGAATTAAAATAAATTACACTTTGGTTGGTTATTTAATTAGAGGTTCTATCAAGACATTTAATATAAATTCAAAAAGTACCATTTAATTCAAAATAAAATTTGAATTGCACTTTCTGTAAGACAAAGGTAAAATTACGACGGAAATAATGTGTAAGACAGAGATGGGTATATCATAATTTTATTTATTTTACTTATACCGATAATTTTTTTAAAGATTGTAATGTCATTGTTTTTAGAAGATCGAAAGGTAACAAAAACAGAAATAAAAAATCCAGGGCCGTATTTAAGAAAATAAAGTTGATAATGGTTGCTAGAAAACGAAACGTCGGATTTCAAATCTGACAGCGCTCTCTTGTAAGAGAGAAAAAGTGGCCATAACAAAGTTTCCCTTTTTTTGATATATCTTTTCAAATAACGTCATGAAATTTCGGATTTTTCCGGATATCTCCAGAAGTATTCGGAATATCCTAAATATCAAAGCGGCATTTTGTTGAGCATCAAATTACGCAACTTTGCCCTCATTTGAGCAGCCCTTTATCTCGCACCGTTTTTGAGATCCCAATGATGTGGCTCGAATTTGTAAGATTATCCACTTTTTGTCAATTTGCCTTTTAACAGGAATTAGTAATGTTACTTTACCAAACTAGTAACATAATGTGACAAGTTATTCAAGTACAAATAAGTGAATTGTTGCGGAACTTATGGGTCGACCTCTGCGGGACGAGCGCAGCGAGTTCCGCAGCCATCTACTCAACCATATACTGTTGAACTGTTCAAATAAGACACTCACCTGAAACGTGTAGATTTTGAACTAATGAGAAAAATTCACAACTGAGTGAATCAGGTTAGTATTGTATTTGAACAACATATTGGTGAATAGATGGATGCTATCTATTCATCAATATGTTTTTTAATTACGATACTAACCTGACTCACTCAAATGTGAGCTATGCTCATTAGCTTAAAAACTACACGTTTCAGGTGAATGTCTTACTTGAACAGTTCAACAGTATATTGGTGAGTAGATGGCTGCGGAACTCGCTGCGCTCGTCCCGCAGAGGTCCACCCATAAGTTCCGCAATAATCCACTTATTTGTACTTGAACAATACCTTATTATATAAAGTCAAAATTTGTAAGATTATTCACTTTTTGTCAATTTGCCTTTTAACAGGAATTAGTAATGTTACTTCACCAAACTAGTAACAAGTTATTCAAGTACAAATAAGTGAATTGTTGCGGAACTTATGGGTGGACCTCTGCGGGACGAGCGCAGCGAGTTCCGCAGCCATCTATTTGTCAATGTTTAATTACGATACTTACCTCACTCATTCAAATGTGAGTTATTCCCGTTAGTTTAAAAAGTACACGTTTCAGGTGAGTGTCTTATTTAAACAGTTCAACAGTATATTGGTGAATAAATGGCTGCGGAACTCGCTGCGCTCGTCCCGCACAGGTCGACTCAGGGTGTTTTTTATATATTGATACCCCACCTACAGCCTTTACCTTTACAGGTAGAAAAAAGGTGTAAATACAAAAGTTGTACAGTTTTGGCTGAATTTTTAGAAACCATGGTCAGAAACAAGATTTGAATGTCGGAAATGGGAAATTAAGTGGGGTGTCAATATACAGGGTGTCCACTTAAGTTTGTAGCATATGGGAAACTTTTTTATTATCAATTTTACGAAAAAAAGTTATTCCTTATAAAAGTTTTTGCTTCTTGAAAAAATAGTATTAAACTATTGAAACTTGAAATAGCATGTATAGGGTGGTTACAAAATAGAAAAATAAGTAGAAAAAAAAATGGCACGTCACTATTTTTTAAAACCTTTGATATTTTTTTCAAATTATGCAAGTCATATAACAGTGAAAAAATACCTTTCATAATCACAAATAAACCTGCCAAATTTGAAAAAAAAAAATTGGAAAAGGAATTTTTGAGCTAATTTTTTCTAAAACTTTGACACCCTGTATCTCACAAACTACGCATTTCCGGACACATGTTTATGGGAACTTTTTTTCTTAAAATATTGTAAGGAATCATATTCTAAAGTTACGAACCGTACTAAGGAAACACCCTGTATATTTTCCTATTTTTTGACCACCCTGTACATGCTATTTCAAGTTTTAGTAGTTTAGTATCATTTTTCCAAGAAGCAGAAACTTTTATAAGGAATAACCTTTTTTCGTAAAATTGATAATAAAAAAGTTTCCCATATGCTGCGAACTTAAATGGACACACTGTATAAAAATACACCCTGTACAGGGTGTCTCAAAGAAGTAATATTGAAGTTGGGTTTGCCTTCAAATATTCAAGATTTCTCCGTTTTATTTTTCGTCTATTCTTAGTTTCTTGTAAATTTCTCTAAATAGAGAAAATTCAGTAGTTTGGGTTAAAATACCTTGTACTATTTCTCTGCCAATTTTTCCTCAATTTCTTCTTTCTATTTCTCAATTTTTGTCTATTTTTGGCTCTTGCATTAATTTATTGAAGTAAGGAAAATTCAAAAGAAAAACATTGGATTTCCACTTGTCTAATATTTTTTCTTAGTTTTTCTCATATTTGTTCTCTTTCTCAATTTTTGTCTTTTCGCTTCTCCTGAGTTTCCATTTTCGTGTAAAGGGTCTTTTAGATAGTTTTTTACACGGAAATATGAAGAGGATACTTGAATAAAAATTCCGGCTCCAAATCTCAAAATAATTTATTCATCATTCACAATTTCATCGTTTTATAGTACTGAAGTAGCTACCTTATGATTTAGATTTTGGAAAACTTTGAAAGGTCATAACTTTTTTTCTATTGAAGATAGAAAACTGAAATTTTCAGCGATTCTTATCCCAATAGAGGACTACAATCCCTGAAAATTTCAGCTCATTAGGACTTATGGTTTTAGAAATAAGTGCCTTCAGAGAAATTTAGAAGAATACGAAAATTCAAGAGCCGGGAATAGATAAAAATTGATCTGGAAAAATTGACAAATAGGAAAAAGAAATTCAATAACGATAGCTATAAATAGCACCAAAAACTGCACATTCTATTCCAATCGATCTGGAACTTCAACCACCTGAAATGTGCTGTACCTATAAGTAAAAATATCGTGACATAAATTATTGATGGAAAGCAAAGAAAATATA